AAAAAATAGAGGAAACCCATGCCAAAATGTCCTGAAGTTAAGAAATTGTGGTTTCCTCCCTCTCCTCAGCACAAGGATGAGTTCCAGCACTGTTAAAGACTTAACATTACACTCCATAGTGCTAAGTTCCTGCAGTCCACTCTCCGAATCAACAACAAATACCATATCCCTCAAAAATTTCATTTGTCAGCTCACCAAGAAACTAACAGCCAAAATCTTGAAGGGTAAGAGAGAAAGGTTCTTTGTAGTTTGCTGCTCTGCCTGATATTCTGCTCAGCTTTGTCCCTGAGTGGTTCTATTCTCACATTCTTCTGAGATCCCCTATGGGGCTGAAGTCCCATAGCACAAAGTATTCCGGGGCTCATGCTTGCTTTGTGGAGATTTTGTGTACTATTGTACAATAGTGGGGGTTTTTTTGTGTGTGTTTTTTTTTTTTTTAAAAAGGGGGAAAAAAGGTACTAACATACGCAGGAATATTTCCGACAACACATGCAAAAACCTCAGACAACTGATTTGCTTACATCACAGGCACACCATTCCTGGAACATCAAAAGAATATTCTTTAGCTGCATCTGTATAGCAATGGCTGCTTCCCAGTCTGGGTCCACCTCAATGTGCTGACCTATCTGTCTTTTTATCTCCTCCATTCCCTGAAATGGACAGACCACAAAACATTCAAGACAGATTAGCAATCGGACTCGAACAACAGAAGAATCCATAAGCAAATCGCAAAACATGAAGTGTCTAACAGTTTTAGCTTTAACTGAACACCTTATCTATGAAGAAAGCAATACTTTTTCAACCAACCAAGAGAGACACCACAGAATTTATTATTTGAATTGTATGTTTATATCCACAATATTACTATGGTCAAAAAAGACAAAGAAACAAGAGTCCAACAGTATCTTTAAAACAGCATATTAGAAACAAGTGATTTAAAAGTATTGTACCTGCATGCAAGTTAGAATTCTCAGGAACGAAACAAATCCTTCTAAAAATCGCTCCCTCAGACGGTCTGTCCATAATGTAGGTTTGCTGATTAAGACATACCTGTCCCCAAAGAAAATATTATCTTCTGTTGCTCAAACTTTTCTTCTGCTCATGCTTATAGTTAAAGTTTTCGTTATATTAGCAGCACATTACATCCCCACTTCAAACTCCTCCTTTTTTTCCCCTCTTTTAATTTTCCCCAGACATCGGAGATTCTATAATTAGGACTCTACTATTTTAAGTCATAGATTTTGAATTTCAAGCTATTTGGGGTGCTTTTTACACTATTAAATTTATTAGACTAATTTGGTGCACTAGAAAAGGGGAAAGTGCTACACAGATAAAGATTACACAGCTTTCCCAGAAGGAAAATGAATAGAAGCCAAATTTTCTCTCATATCTGATAATAGATTTATTGTTTGAGACAATTATTATATGGATTAATATCAGCAAAAAGGATCATAGATAGGCTTACAGAGTATGCAATTTTGACTTTCGATACTTTTAGCAGTTTTACTTATCACCAGATTTTTAATTGAAACACCTCATCCTACTTTCAATTTTCTAAGAACTGTTTGAAGCTTCTCAACATTATACTAACCTGAGGTCATATATTACTGCATATACCCGGTTCAGTTTGTCCTGGCTGTAACCTTGGAAGTTGAATTTGTCATTTTTGTCTAGGTACTCTGGCAGCACTTCTAGCAGCGTCTCTGTAATGATGGTGATTACCTTTTGCTCTTCAATAAGATGGCGAGCCTGCAAGAAGAAAAAGTATTCAAAAGAAGGATTCTGTTGGAATTTAGTATGGGGAGAAAAAGAGAACATAACAACTTATCACTCCAAGTGGCCTAGAGACAGACAGATATTCTTCAGTGCTGTAGGCTGAAGTATATTTGCAGTGAAGATGATAGTGCCCAAAGAAGTACCATATCCTCTTACAGGTATAATTTTTAACACAATGCATCAAGGCCAATATAAAGCTAAGGGACATGTATCTTCAGCCCTTAATAAACTGCCATACTATTCCCTATTGGGAGAAATTCAAAGGCTACATGGTTTCACATTATTAAAATAATAGTTATATCAAGGAGAAGTACTCAACTAACCAAAAGTGTCCTGGAAATAAATAAATAAATAAATTCATGTTTTTGGCATTGTTCACTCTGTGATGTGCAAATTCATCCCTTTCTCAGGATTTTGCTCACGTTCAGCTTTTTCTCCACAAAGCATTAAAAACATCAACTGCCATCTTCCCTAATTTTGCCGAGAACACTGGTGAGAATTTTTCTTATGAATCCTCTGTTTTCTATTATAAATTATTTTAAGTATTTGTAAGAATTCCAAGCTACAAGATTGCCTGTAGTATTTATTATGCCTGAACACAGTAACTTTCTTGCTGTGACAGCTTCAGTGCAATAGTCCTACTATTCTTTCTAAAGCGATCATTTAGAAAAGGTCTGAAATTGTAATGTAAAAAAAAGAAACATACGATCTTAAGAAGAATAAAAAACAGAGGTGTACTTTTATTTCCTAAGACTTACTGTATTTCACCTACTCAAACACAGCAAGCTTTTTCTTGCTCTGTGAATGGTCCGTTAAAGGTACATATGAAGATGCATATGAGCAGTAAACTCGCACGGAAACTTAAGGCAGAGAATGGTGCTGTCTAAAACCCTTGCATACTTGCATTCCTTTTAATTTTTGTGATGAATTTTCACATAAACTCTGGCTCTAGCTTTCACACTCACCTCAACAAAACTCAAAATAATTCATTTTAGATTCAGCAGTACATACAAACCCACAGACAAGTACAGCAGCAGCTTACAAACGTGGTTCTTTTAGGAATTATCACATTTTACATTCCTCGCAGAGATAGGTTGAACATACCAGAGTAGGTACAGTGAACATCTGAACAGAGAGGGCGGTCACAGAGAGAACTCTGTCATGATCATCGTTGATATATTCTTTTTGCAATGACTTGTAATACTGGCAAAAGAGAACATTGGGGAATTTAAACAAACAAATCTAGTTTAAGTGAAAAGTGTTTACTTTTTTATTTGAAAGAATTATTGTATTTGAAGTATGCTTCATTCCAACAGAGGCAGTTTAAACAAGAAAAACTCCACAATGACCTCAATACAATGTACTTAAATAAGAAGTCAGTGGGACATATGCTTAAGCTAAGAACAAATTGAACTGCACTGCCAAATTGCAACCAAAATATTTTATCTCCTACCTATCAATTTTCATTAAGAAAAAAAAATCTCTAAAGACATTAGCTTATTAGTAAAATGAACCTTCTTCAGTAAGCTATGTACGTACATCTAAACATACAGACATAAACATATGCACATACACTGAACAGCTGCCTATAAAAGATGGGTAGAATCAGTTATATAAGTCCTTCTTTGCTTTGTCTCAGTTCAGCAAAAATCACTGTCATTCCCCCTTAGGTATTCCAGGGTTAAAAAGTCTCCCTTAATAACACGAAAAAAACATATATGTGTTATATATGTTTCTTAACTATTTCATCATGATTTGAAAAAAATTCCAGCTCATTGCTGTTTAAAGAGATAAAGAAAACATTAACAATACTGCACTGAAAGATCATATATATCCATATAACTGTAAAAGATAAACCAGCAATACTGAAATTAATACACTACACAGACTGATCTAGCAGGGAAGCTCTAGATGTTGAAAAGTCATAACTTATACAGAAACAGCAAAGGAAGTTTCTACAGTTACTATTTATTGCATAAAACATACACAAACAGTTACCTTCACAAATTCCACAGCAAAAAGTTTTTTGTATTCCATTTCCATGAAGAAACTACTGAAGATAAGCTCATGAAGAACTTTTCTTGCTCCTGTGAAGAGCCAAAACAATTCACTTGATTTTACTGTACTAAGATGCAGGTTTTTATGAGATAGAGAAAAAGATTTAAAGAGTGATAATTAAAAATCATTTAAAGATCTTACTGATATGTATTTAAAACACAGAGTAAGCATTGAGTCACTTAGTAAGGATTCTTCAAAACACATTAAAAAAAACATGCACACATGAAAAATACATATTCAAAGTACCAATTCTTTCAGTCATGTAACACTGTCAAATGCACCATAAAAAAAGAAATATTAACTCCTCATTAACACAGCGCACACTTATTTTTACTTATTTTGTTAAATATTAAAAAAATAATAAATTTGTCTCTTCAGTTTATAGCAATATGTACATACAAACCTTTATGAAGCTTTGCATCCCAAAGTATCAACTTGCTTATGAAGCAGGGCTTTTCAGACCCAGCATCTTCTTTGAGACATATCTGACAAAAAATCTGCCGAAAGTCACCTGTAGAGAGAAAGTTATTCATTTGTAAAACAATGCTTTGAAAGGGTCCAAGCCAGTAGAACTACAAAAGTCTCTTCTCTTTAAAAATAAATAAGCCCTTAAGTATGGATCAGCTCCTAACAATAACCTTCCTCTGTGAGCTCCCCACATACTCCTTTTCTCCTATTACTACTATCCTCTTTCTATAATAGATCCAGTAATGCAGAAAAGTATTTTAAAATGAAATGCTTTCAGGCAGCTTGGCAAAGCAGGTCTACAAGCACATGCACCAGAGCAGTACGGAAGCGCACATGATTAGTATATGCATAGCTAGACTAGTCTCAACTGGTCCCTGCACTGGGCCCTCAAAGTCAATATTCTGTATAATTTCAGAACATTACCTAACACTTTCTTTTACCTATGAGTAAAAACAATGTTTTGGAGATCAACATTATGCTTACAAGTTACACTTACTTGAATAGCTCATGAGTTTATTCAGCCAAGAACCAAGGCGCAAGGCAAACTTCTGGTGAGCCATAACATCTGCATGCAGGACCTCTACATGAAGCGGACGTTGAGAAACATTTTCAGAATGCCTCTAGAAATCAGGTAATCAGCAGATATAAATTAAAGATAGCATGAATGTTCACATTTGTCTTCAACAACTGTTATCTCTTGCAAACCCACATTAATGCCAAGCTCTATCAAAATAAATCAGTTGAAATTCAGGTTTTGAATAAGTCTATTTTTTAACCAAATGCAGTGGGTTAAATTCCATTTAAGAACTTCACAGGCAGGGTATAAAAACATGGAAGTACTAAGACAGAGATTACAGAACAGATAAATTAGCCTAGAATATTAATAAAAACAAAACAACGAAAAAAAACCCACCTAAGCATAATGGTGATTAAATGAGAAAAGTATTTTGGGAAGCTACCTTGATTTCCTCCTTTGCTTCCTGACAAGATGAATAATGTCCTGCTTTAACAGCTCTACGGCCCTGTTTAAAGAAAATAGTAAATATGAGACCAATGTATGAACTAAACAACAAAAGTCACAGACCTGATCCTTGGCTCTATTTTATTACTCATGAAAGAAAACATGGGACAAACAGCATTCCAGGTGCTCTTAGACATTTAGCAGCAAGCCAAAATTAAGTTATTTTTAGAAAACATTTATTTGAATTAAATTAGCTATAAAAAAACTGAAGAAAATCAAAGTCTGTGTATTTTAATGTTAAAAAGAAAATATATGTATACAACAAAATACCAGAGAGACTTCCACAGAATACAGTAAACAATTTCCTTCCTAGCAGGAGATACACTCACTCTACACTGCTTTTCTACAATCTCTCCTATTATTTCTTACATCTATAGGTAAAAGAGTGGGGTATATTAAAAGCAGCAGGTATGATGGCTCTTTCAATAAAGAGAAAGAGCAGCATCACCTTCGTCCTCAAATCCCACGTAAAGGAAATAGAAAAGTCACTTAGTGGTCCATAGGTCCTATTTCACACAAGACAAGAAGTTAGAAGTTACAACTAGTGGAAGGGTTGCAATTAAAACAAAACAACTTAACCCAATCCTCTGGCATAGTAGATGCTTTGTATAAAGCAAAGTCATGTCAATTCTAAACTAAAATATAGGTTGCATTCAAAAGGAACCTTTCATAAATTCATAGAACAATAAAGGCAAATCTTTAAAGATTATTTTATAAACATGTATGCATATACATATTTTACAGACCTGAAACTGCATTGTTTCAGCACTGTAACAACATAAACCCAACAGTGCATCTATAAATAAAAATGTAACTAGTTTTCATTATCTGAGCAATGAGACACACAAAAAGAAAATACAGTTTTCGCAGATTTAAAAAAGCACTCTAATATTAGCAGGATGTATGTACATAATGCATACCTATAAAGATATAGGCATACAGATAAATACAGTTTCTGTGCACATGCAGAGCTTTTATACTTCTGTGTAGAAAACAAGTAGTATTATAATACAAAACAACTGGCATTCAGTCATCTTCTTTTTCCAAGAAAAAAAAAATCTCTATACCAACAGTATAGGTTCCTGACACTGACTCAAACACTGGTTTGAGAAATGAGAGTAAAAATAATTATGCTCCCTCACTTTCTCTCGTGTTTTTTTTCTCCTCGTTTTATTTGACTCAAAGTTTCAAGACTTCCAAATTAAGTCCGAGCCAGAAAGAACACCGATTCTTGCAAAACGTAAGCAAGAATTCTATTTAAATGACTGAATATGCACATTGCTGCCTTAATGTTTCATTTTAAAGGTATTTGTCTGAAATGTAAACTTCTGTCATCCAATAGAAAAATAAGTAATTCAAACACAAGTGAAAGAATCAACTTCAGATAAATCAGAGCCTATTCCCCATTTCAAGAAACTGGGTTTGCCCAGAAGCAAAATGTACACAGTTTTAAAAACCTTCCTGAAGCAAACGTTGACTAACAGTTCATCTGCAAAATGCCTCTCTCTCTCTCTACAAGCTCCAGCATTCTAGAAACTAAGATTTGGTCATCAAAACACTATAGTAACACTCTTAATTACTAAAAGGGGACTCTCCTTTTTAACCAAGGATATACTAACCTCTTTGTCTATGGCAGTGGTATGCAGCTGGGCTTCACCAAGTTCGCAGCCAAGTGCCCTTTGCAGGCTATAGATAACATGATCATAGGAATGGTGTTCATCATTAAAGAGGACACAGTAGTAGTTGTCTGCCTTCTCTCTGCTGGGAAAAATACAGTGCTTCATCATACAAGTACAAAGAACATTGTAAATATCCTATCCAGGACATCAACAGATCAACTCACGAAAGAAATTACAAATATAAAAAATAGAAGAAAAAGTTAACCACGTTTTTCACACCAAGGACACCAAAAATTGCATTTCATCTACACCAGAACAAACCACAGAAACCACATACAAAGCATAGAAGAGCTTCTAAATTTTCCAGTTAACTCATCATTCCCTCTTTCTGCCCTATTATCTCATTTTTCTTTTTAATGATACAGAAGTCTTGTTTCCATTTTGATTGAGCAACATCACACATTATTTTCTCCATAAAGTATCAAGAACTCATCTGCATATAATTGTAGTTCAAAAAAATACAATTTGAACTGTATTTACAGTGCCATTTGACAGAGTTTTTGACACTAACAACTTTGCATGAAAGTAGCAATACCCACAGGTAAAGTTTTTAAAACTTCACAGACAGAATTGGAGATGCTCCCTACCTGATTCTGAGCTCCAGAGGCAGTTCCTTTTCTTCTTCCCATATAAGCATATCTACAATGTATTTTATCACAGCAGGAAACACTCTCCTAGAGTGTTCCATAACCTCTTCATTTAACTGACATTCAGAATTCTGTAATAAACAAATAAATAAGTTAACATCAATATTGAAAATAATATTTTAAAAATAGAAAAAAGGTGTCAGTAAAATACTTCCTTACTTCCCTCCTCTCTCCCAGGGGTAGATTTATGATTATTGAACAAACTCATCTCACCTCATTGCTTCCCTTAAAACCATTTCATCCTAAAAGCTGAAGATATTAAAAGTCTGCAATCCAGATGTAAATCCCATCCCGTATTAGCATTCATTTTCATCTGTATGCATATTTTCTCAAATATTTATCAGATTCCTCGAACGGAATTAGAACAGAAAGTGCAACTCTGTTCTTTTCAGAGATCCCCAGCCAGACTTACTCATTAATCAAAATATTCTTATTAACTAGCATATTTTCCATCCACCCAGGCAAATCTTATTAAAGTGAATCATCTACACCATATGATGACATTATGAATCCTTTCCATAACATTTTAGCAGGAGAGAAAAGGAGATTATAAACAATGAAAATAATTTCCAAATGTGCTCTTAAGTATGAAGCCATGAAATGTTCCAGCACAAGTCACAGACATTTTCCAAAGACATTCTTTTTGTGAAAAGAGGGATTTAATCCAAAGGCCATAAACAACCAAACACATCTTTGACTATTAATGAACATTTCTTAATACCACCTTTTTCTCAGCATAAGTATGTACAAATAGCATATAACATTGTTATTAATGCCAATAGGATACAGAAACAGAAGCTGATACTTTCTAGAGTAAGTTCACAGAATTTCCCATAATATTAAGGTCAACTAAACTGCCTATAAAATTTGAGGATGTACGTGTTGGGCAGAAGGAGAAAAGACGGAAAAAAAGAAATCCATGATGACCACTGTTTCCCCAAGTGCTAAGGGCATTCACCTCTCCAATGAACAAATTGAAAGATTAAGTATGAAAGAACAGTGGTCATCTGTTTCATATAGCTAAGAACCATGTACCTCAAAAGAGTCCTGAATCAATTACGCAGTCCCATTTATGAAGCAGATAGCTCTAAAAGTTATGCAAAATCGCCTTGTGCTTATCAGATTCTCCTGATTCCAAAGCTTTTTCTTTAATTAGTGTTAAATAAGAGTTTTGTAAGGACACTGCATTTTAGTGACATACAACTCTCATCATCTCAGAAATGCTAAAGAAAAAAAAAATCCTGCTGCTCTTCATTAACATAGTATATTGAAACCTGTGCTTTTCTGCACATCCATTTTTTAAAGGAGGTTATTTGGTAGATGAGACTCTAAATATAGCTTTTAAAACTGGCAGCCAATTCCTAGACACTTGTTTATCACTGTCTGCATAGCAAACAAACATATTGGCAACATTTTCCTCTTCTCATTTGCTTTCACCTTACCACAGTAAGTTTATAAACGCTTTGGCACATTACACCCTCTATACTTACAGTACTTCAAGGGATAGTGGCCAGAACCATTCAGAAGAGTTGCTTTTGTTTTTCAAGCATGGGATGCACTTCTATACTAACAGAAAGCACTCTGGAAAGGAAATGTGTGCCTGTTTCAGCATTGAAACATTCCTAACGCACTTTTCAACCCAATAATTTCAATAACTACTAACTATATGCTGAGAGAATGTCTGCACTAAGAATGTCCTCGATTCTCCAAACAGAGAAGAAACTACAGGGGAATCTAAAGATCCATGAGTAAATAAACCCTGATGTATAAGTCTTTTATTAAGGAAGACAAACAGTCAATCAGTGCCACCTTTATCAAACAGGAATATATAATTCATTACTGAAGCAGCTGCACTTCTGCCCTGTTCCTAGTATCTCTAATAATTACATATATTTACAATATCTCAAAGAGCTATAAGTAACGCTTTAACTATTCAGTTGTCTATTTATGTTTCCTATCATTCATGACAGGGGCATTCATTGTAGAAGTAGGTTGCAGGAGTTTACTAAATATTAGCTGTACTTCTTAGGGCAAGAAGCATCTCAACAAACACTGGATTCAAACACTGGATTCACACCTCATCCTGATCAGCACCTGTTGAGTATTGAGTGTTTCCTCAGCTCTACTTTCTGCTTTAAAGAAAACTACTTTTCAGTAGTTGAGCAAATGAAAACCACAAGTCCACAAACGACTGAAGAGGGGTAGCAGACGCTGACCTCAGGTAGCATGCAGACCCTTCTACCTCAAATAAGCTTGTGTCAATATTTATAATATTTATTCTTCCACTTAGGCAGTACTCTTACTTCTTTTTCAGTCCCTGATGCTCCAGGCTCGTGTTTAGTACACAGTGGTCCTGCCTTCCACGCCTCTGTATCCCCACAATCACAAAATCCTCCTCCAGTGGAACTATGCATCTGTAAAAATAAGTATTTCAGTAATGCAACATATATTTAAAAAGAGAAAAATAAAAATATGCAATATTTAAGTTCAATATAAGCACCAATACAAACACCTCTTTACAAGATACAAGGCTCACTGCAAAACTCAAACTTCTCTCTCTCTCTTAAAAAAAAAAAAAATTTAAAAGAGAAAAGGAGACCTTATCAGAGAATCAGAAAGAATCTTTTTGAGCATAAAAACTAGGAAATAGAGCTACTGCTGCAAAATATGTGCAAATCTCCAACAAAATTAACTATGAAGCAAGCGAAAAGGAACTATTAGCATTTCATAAACAGCAAAACAATAATCAATGTCTTTATGACATAAAACTATACCAGAGATGCTTAACACCTTCTTTATTCTATTTATTCTAATTTATAAGTACAATTTAAAAATAAATATAAAGGTTTGTATATTCAACAGATATTTAGTAGCAATTGAGATGCTAAGCAAACAAAATAAGTCTTAAAATGAGAATCTAAAATATAACCTTGCAACTTCAATTTTGTGTGATGCTTTTAAAAAAGTAAATATTTTGGCCTCCTGCTTGTCAAAAAGTTCTAACGAAAGTCAGGTAATAAACATTATCCATCAGTTGCCCTGAAACCCCAGAAGTAAGTGACCTAACAAAAGGCTTTCAAAAATTACCCTGAAGCGTTGATCTAATTAGACTTGTTCTGAGCAAGAAGTTAGACTAGACAAACTCCTTAGGTCCATTTTGACATCAATTATTCTAAGAATCTATGAAAATGAAGAGTATAATTTGTATTCTTTATGCTGTATTTTAAAATGCAAGCACAGCAAATCCATTCCCATCTGACTGCCTGTAGTCTGATGTTCTGCCTGAAGACAACCTACGTCACTGAAAAACAAGGAAGAGAAGAAAGGTACCAAAGTGTTTTCACTGCCCAGCGGTGATTTCAAATGCTCCGTACCATGACTGTCTATTTTCATTGGTTTTCAGCTTACCTCTCTAAAATCTCCATATGCATGCATGTTCATGCATATGTATACTGCATTAGCATTACTCGGGGGAGCTTTATATGGCTTTGAATCAATACTTGCAAGACATTTTCAAATATGAAGACTTGCACAAGGTGGTAGAATATTACATTTTAGTGTCCTTAATTATGAGACTGGTACCTTCTTCCACACTCTCTCATGGAGCTATTTCCACTTAAAGGAAATTTACGACCATTTGACAATGAAAGCAGAAAAAAAGTCTCTTAAAATGAATGCAAGACTAATGAGTAAAGGAAAAATTTAAGAAAAGTCTAGCTTGCTTTTCAGTGGTAAAAGATAAATAATTAATTAAAAAGTTAAAACATTGGAACCTCTCAAAGTTGTTGCAAATTTGGCTCAGAGAGTAGAATATCAAAAGTTTACCAGAAAGAGATGATCCAATTCTAAGATAATCTCCTTACTAAAACTCTGATGCTTAGGATACATTCTAACTTCTAAAGTTCATGCTCTAAGCCCAAAGTTGTTCATGCAAATCTAAATAAAGATACAGAATGGGAATGTCCATATGTTACAGGAGTGATGAAATAACACACACACACACACATATATATTCATACTAAATTTCTGGAGAGAATGTGGTCTAGTAAAATAAGAACTGCCTGGGACTCAGGACAGGATTGCCACTTTCATTCACAGCTTTTTGCTCAGATACAGACAATATTCTTTTTGGTGATATTGCCAAAGAGAATACAATGTATGCATTCACAGATACGTTGCTTCTTAGAAGCTTGTTTTCCTAGAAATAGGTTTTATGTGTAAAACTTGTTGTTAGAAGTATGACAGCAAAACCTTTCGCAAGATCTCAGATTTTTTAAGTTACTAATGTAGTTTACTACATCCTGGAACAAAGAAACAAAGTCAAGAAAACTGTACTTGTTGCTTAGACAGTTTTAATACATGAGTTTTCTACCTTGTAACGATGGTTTTTGTGAATGCTGTTCTGGAAGCAGTCCATGCACAGTACACATGTTGGATCAACTGCACAGTCTCTGCAACAAATATCATCACTCAGTAACTTTCTGAGAAACACACACTGAATTTTCACGCACAAAACAAAAATATTGTTCTAAAAATTTGGGTTAAGAGATTTGTATTACAAAAATATGGGTAACTCCATGTCATAGAAAGAGGATGAAAGTCAATCTTGTTAGGCTTAAACCAGGCAGTCTGGTTTTATTATAAATGTTTTATTTCCACTTTCAAATCCTGTTGCTATTTCTTCCTGTTACATATTTATTTCATTCTCCAAAATGAGAAGTTATTAAAAAATATATATATAACAAAACTGACTTTGGAGTAAACTTTATTACTGTTTCCAATAACAATTATAGACACTTTGCTACATGACCACTAGGCTACATTAGAGATTTTTTAAACAGTTGCAAGTTAAAAGTTAAGAGCATTTTTCTTCAGAAAATCAGCTACAAAACATATTTATTATTACAAATCTACCACAACACAGCCTAAAAAAAAAAAAAGAAAAGAAAAGAAAAGAAAAAAAGCCAAAAGTACCTGCTCATTTTGAATGTGCAATTTTAGACATTCTAGATTATTTCAGAGCATCTTTTTTTCCCTTAGCATCTGAGAAGTCTAAAGGAAAGACTGGCTTGACTTTAATAGCAGTATTAAGACGAAGTATTTATAAATATCACCTAATTACTACAAGATAGCAACTCAAAGATTAGGAAAAATGAATTGTCTAGCCACCTCTGAGAAATATAGTTCTATCATTTTGCCTACTATGATACAAGAACTCTGCAGTGACAGAAACAGCAGTATTCAACAGCACTGAACTGCTTTGACCATTCTTTTTCTTCTGACAAGCCACAGTCCCACTTGCTACACACTTCCCTGCAAACATGTAAGGATTCCTACAGAGACCCTTTGTACTTGATCTTGCATCCTAAATAATATTATTCATCACTAATAAAATAATTTTGCATTTCACCCAAAATGCCTGGACTTTTAAAACAGACTCAAAATGACCAAAAACACATATTATAGAGTATCATATTAATACCACTAAATTACCTGCTCTGTTGCATCTTTGCAGCCATCATGAAAACCCCTGATACATGAATTAATGAAGTAATATCATATCAATAGCTTTTCATCTTTAATATACATTAGGGTGAGAACGAAGATGAAAAAAAATGGCCGTGGCTTATGCAGATATTGCTCAAGCAGCATATTGCTAACTCAGAAACACTGTGTTGTGTTTTAGACTTCAAAAAGATGAGTAAATTCTGCAAAAGAGTGCAAATTCATATGACTGTCTACCTCTCCAGCATCAGGTGCACATACCATACTCATGCTGTGTCATACAATCTTTTTAAGCAGTGACTTTCAGGACCTTTAGTATTCTTTCCATGTCATCCCCCTTTTCTCTGCCAGTGTATACCTGTCACATGTAACTTTGCTCAAAGTAAAGTGGTTTGAAATCTGAAGCAAATACCACTGTCCTAAGACTTACTGTGACACAAATGATGATTACTTTGCACTGCAGCTAGTGTCACTAGGACTCCTAAGCTACACTGTCTCGCAAGGGAGCAGAGACGATGACAACACATACCTTTGTGCTTACCTGCAAGAATACGTTGTCTCCCCTCCTTTGAATACCTTCCCACAGAGCTGCGAGGTTCCACTCTGCTGTAATTTCTCTAGGAAGATATCTGGGTCTTCTCCAAACAAATAGCACTCAAGAGGGTAAAGTATCGTTGCCTGGACCATTTCTTCTTGCTTCTCCAGCAAGGGGTCCATTTCAGCCGAGTAGATATTTGGCACATGTTTTGCCAAGCACTGTAAAAAGGTAGTCTGGAAGTCGAATCTTTCATCCCACCACTGCAACAAAAGTAAACAAATGGGTAAACACTAACCAATAAAGAAATATAAAAGACATGAGTAGCTCCACAATACTCTCCAATTGATCTAATTCTGCTCTTTGAGTCTGAACAGTCTTTCTTCCATATTATTCCCATTACTCAGAAATACCTATTGGTTTTCCCCACTGCAAACCAGGTAACAAATTTACTCACTAAAACTCCTGAAGACAACTTCCTTTCACCTGCAACACTGTTTTTATCTCTCAAAGCCTTATTTTTGCAAGAAAAATACATACACCTTCACAAACACTGAAGAACTTTTTCTAGGCCAGCAAGCAGAGAATGAGCAAAGCGAGGAAGAAAGTTTGAACTAGGAAGACCAATAGTAAAGTATTTCTATTTTACTTGCTTAAAGGATGAAAGTACAGAAAATCTTATGCAAAAGGCAAAAAACCCTAAATCTAATTTTTGATTTAAGATAAAACCTACATTGATCCAATCAATAAATTACTCCTAAAAATTAATGAGCTGATGGAGCTGAAAAACTAGATAAAGATCTACAAGGCTACAGTCCCCTAGTTTATTATCAAGACGAACAGCTCTCCAATTTAAAAAATATCTGCACCTCCAATACTCTTAAAGCTGCATAGTATCAAATAGTAATTGCTGATTTGTTTTTTAAAAATTGTCTACTTAGTGCAGTCAAGTACAAACCTTTCTACATGCAAAATCTAAACAGAAGAAACAGAAATGAGATACCAGATTAAGACAGCCTAGATGAACTATAACATTCACTACCTAAAGCTAAACTGTCAAAAGAGATTTATTCTGTGTTGTAGCCACACTAAACAACATTCTCAATATGCCCTGAGTAATGAAGACAGTATTTAAAATACATTTAGTTTTATCCTGAGGCTTTTACTGATATTCTGGCCACCATGCATCATTTCTCTTGGTGATCCATGAACTCAAAGTCACACAAGAAAATGCACGGCAGACGCTGACGGACAAGAGAAGCGAGGCCATAGGCAGTATTGTCAAGCAGAGGAGAAAACTTGTCCTTAGATCATGCTAGCATTACTGTTCTCTTGAAAGCACAGACTGACCAACCTAATCAGATTCCTTGAATCACAAAGCATTCAACCCACCTGCAAGTGCCAGAAAACAAGGACCACTTTCCTGAGTGAAGGGAATCACTGACCATTTAAATTCCAACTCCAGCAAAAATTTTAGATCAAGAAACACAGCCAGATTTATTACTTAAACAGTAAGCACCAAGGAGGTCACCTTACCAGTCATAAAAACTCTTAGTATTCACATGTATTCACAGGGCAAATCAATAGAAAACAAAAGAAAAAGATTCAAAAGATTCAGGGTTTTTTTGAACTTCTCAAATCCAACAGTATTATTTTGAATTATGGTTAGACAGATTACACTGTGAAAAGTAACCAGAAACTGAAACCAAATGTATCAAAAGTGGTATAAGAGCTTTAAAAGAAAAAGCCTAACCAAAGGTTCTCAAAAAAAAAATTTTTTTAAGTTGAGAAGAAGCCAATTATTCTTAGACCATAATGAAACTTCAGAATTAAATGTTCCTCCTGTTTTTGTAGTGTACGCATATTGCGCTACAGCATGTATCAAGCTGCCTCCCAATTTGGGTGCACTATCTGCTCGAATAAAGGGAAAATCGGTGACCTCTTGGCCTGCTCCTTTTCAGGAGCACAAGAGAATCCCAGGGTTCAGCTCTTCTCTTAATTAGCTATTTTCCCAAGAGACGGGATAAGTTTAGCTTTGGTGTTGTTGGAACAGACTGTATAATAGCTTTGAGAAACACGGGGCTAAGTTTTCCTGAAAATATGCCAGAAGCACAGAGTGAGTTCTCACACAGGCTAATTCCCAAACGTTTCAAGCATTCCTACACAAAGCTTTTAATTCTAGTTAAAGGTTGCCTGGAAAAAAGGGAAAGAGAGGAAAGAAGGGAAAACACTTCTCTCATGCAAGCAAGCAGGCTGGCTGCCTTCTGGTAAATACATTAAAACGTGTCTTCCGCCTATCCCACTCAGTACAACATTCATTATATTCACAAAGAGAAATAAAAATATTCTTGTGGCTAGAAGCTGATACCAACCTAAATTTCAGATCTCTCCCACATCCACTGTGTCTCCTAGGAGAAATAATCTATTTCTTGTGTCAAAGTGTTCCGTATGCTATAACTAGCTGTGTAAAGTTGCACACAAAACTGCAGCCAAAACACAAAAGGGGCCAAACAAATCACACCCCCAAGTTAAGACTGCCTTGGATACATAAGCTTGGCCTCCTTGCGCACACATACTAAAATTAAGGTCGATTTCCCTTAACGCTAAAAGCAGTTCTGCCTTTCCTTACGTTAAAAGGAAATAATCAAGACAAAAACATTACTATATTGCTAAAACAGGATTATCAGTCTGAAGTCCACAGACCCCTGACATTCACAGACTCCTTGCCAGGGCCCATGAGCTACGAGTACAGGAAGAAACCCCCCAGGAAGGAGGCCGGCACTCACACCGCTCCAGTCTAGGAGCATTCCCATGGAAAAATATTTTTGGACTGAAAACTAGCATTGCACATATGGAGAGTAAATTAATACTTTAATATTGAAATTTCTCAGATTTAAAATATTGCATTACCTACAAACAGAAACACTAGCACAAGAGCAGCAGAATTTTGGATGCATTAGGTTGGAGTATACTCCAAATACTGATAAGAATTAAAAGCTGAATAAGTACATAGGGAAATAGAGAAAATAGTTAACAAGTGCTTTCAAACCACTTTTCACCTACAGATCATGTGTCAAATGAGATTTCTCACTACCACAACAGAATTCCTTTAATGTTGCAATAGATTTAACATATACATTAATTCAATGACCACTACCATACAGTTTCTGTTTTATATTACAAGCCTAATTCGGTTTAAATCCTAAACTCTTTTCAAGAGAGAAAGAGACTAGCTAATCTCAAGTGCCATTCAACATAAATATCAAATGCAAAACGCTGTTTTACTTTGAGAAATTCAATATCCTCTACACTGTCCTAGAAACACAGCAGCTCTGACCTGAAGACATAAGAGCCGTTTGACCTGCACATTCATTTAGACTTTGGCCACTGAGCCAAGCCTACTAGGAGGGGACCAATTAATGTAAAAAGATGCTTCAATGATGCAGGTGTTTGCCCACTGGGAATTAGACTCAGAACCTAACAGCACAGACTGCTAGAACTTTGGCTGCAGTGGAAATCACCTTGATGCCAGCAGACCCAATGACTGCCAGTTCAGTTGAAGCACAGAAAAACAGTGTCCACCTGAGAAGCAACAGTGAACACCAGGGTTCAATCAGCTACTATTTCAGCAAACTATGCTGGACAGCTAACAGTGTGATCTTCAGAGGAAGCAAGGCACAGATCTGAGCTGCTCAGCCTCCTTGAAACTGCAGGTCAGACTTCAATTTTAAGTCACACTTGTCTCCAAAGTCTCACAAATACATTCTCCTTAGGAAGAGGGGAAAAAAAGAAAAAAAAAATCAGAATCTTTGTGGATTTATTGGTAGTATTCCACTAGAGTTAAAATAAAACTTTTCCTTTAAGTTTTAGCTATTCACTTGGCAGAGTCAAAATTACTCCTTGCAATTTTGTTTCTAAAGGAACAATGGAGAGGCTTTGTTCCTTTCCTTGTTTGATCCTTTGCATCCATGCTGTGGTCTCCCATCCTCTAGGGAACAGGATTTCTATCAAACTGCTTAGCACCAGACAGAGTGCACTTCAGAAACTGCAGTCACTGCAGTTATTTTTTTATAAAAATATTAATTTTAAAAAAGCTTCCATTTGTTTATACTGTTTTTTAATGTTAATTCCCATGTACTCAAATAAACTGGCCTTGCATCCACCCAAATACCCAAATTTAACCTCGCTTATCCCGAATTACATGATCCATTTTTTAGCTCTTCAGTGAGCTAACATGCAATTAACTTCAGTCCGCCTGCATTTAGCACCAACTCAACCCTTCCAAATGCTTCCCCTTATACACAAACACCAAGCTGTTTATCTGCAGCCCCTCTGCTGCTCTGAGATCTAGCTAAACAGAGCCACATGCCAGCCTGCAGAGCCCCTGGCAGCGACATTCTCCTGGAGCCACGCATTTCTCCTTGCACAGGAGCGCTGCTACGGCAGAATTGTGACAACCACAACTTGGTGGTGGACTGGAGCAAAGAACATAGGTAATATTCACAACAGGTACTCACTCCTGTGCTAACAAAAGCCACAAAACTGTCAAGAAACATGAGTAAACACGAAAGCAAACAGCGAAGGAAGTGCTTTCAAACCACAGCATTGCTCGGCGCCACAACAAAACGCAGGCGCTGCAAGCGAACACTACATACGTAAGGATACAGACAGGATCTTGGTGCTGCTCCAGTACTTGTCACAACTTCACGGACTAACTTCTTAGACACACTGACACGCTTCACTGTTTTATAAATAAGGCTTGGACCATAGGCAGTTCAGGGCTTATTTTTGCACACAAGAACACACTGGTTTACCTATTGAGGTAATTTTAAATCCAAGTTAACACACACAATTTGATATAAAATTATATTGACAGACATTCTGGTTTAAAAATGTTAATTTAGATTAGGAAACATCAGATTGAAACCTAAGAGAAGACACTGCAACTCCAGAGACACCCAACAAAAAAGTTTCACTGGTCTTAAGCCTGAATCTCCTCTCCATATTACTACTTCATTACAGCACAACTACAGAAGAAAGGCTCCTCAGCTGCAATTCTGCAACTCTTTCATAGCACTGACCAATATGAAAGGAGATTTAAAAATACCTTAAAATGCACAAGCACCTGTATGAATATCCCTTGTGCTTTGTTTGAGTCGAGTTTAGAATTTGAAATCTGGTTATTCTCATTCCTGTAAAAGAGATTTCCCAAAAGTAAAGCTTTCTCTTCTTTAACACCCCTACCCCACTGAAATTTA